AAAAAAAAAAAAAAACACTCATTTTCTTTGCATATCTTGGTAAGATTATTATTTTCCTGGAACATATATATATATATAATTTTTTTTTTCTTTTTGCAATGTCCACCTGTAAAGGAACATATTTTTTTTTTTCAAACCTTCAAGTAGTTTGGAAACATTTGCCTATTTGCCCATTCCTCTGGGCACAGCCTTTCAGAGCCCTTATCTCACCTATGCTGAAAAATCTGTTTTCCCAGGTGCTGGTGGGGCTACTGGATAGAGGGGATCACAGAGAAATGAGGAGTGAGCGAGCTTTGTAAACCACTTCTAATTCTCTTCATTAGTATGCTACGATCCACCCCAGCTTCTACAAGGTCAGACATGCAAGACAAGTACTTGGCCAAAACAGCAGGATTCTAACTAGTGTAAAAATAGATTTTAAATAAAATAGAATCTCTATAGGAAAGAGAATTAGGTTATGCTTTACATTCCCACTCTAGCTTTAAGGTATCTGTACATATAAGTCCAAGAGAGACTCAAAGAGTTGGTCTGCCTTAAGTAAAAATTAAGAATGTCTGAGTACATTCATTTTGCAACATTACAGGTAAAGTTTTTTGGGAAATGCTGCAGCACATCCCACAAACATAGATGGTGATTAGTGATACAGTTGATGTGCTAACAAGTAACATGTGAGACATTTAGGGGCTGGGAGCAGTGGCTCATGTCTGTAATCCCAGCACTCTGGGAGGCCAAGGTGGGTGGATCACCTGAGGTCAGGAGTTTGAGACCAGCCTGGCCAACATGGTGAAACCCCATCTCTACTAAAAATATAAAAAAATTGCCGGAAATGGTGGTGCACGCCTGTAATCCCAGCTACTTGGGAGGCAGGAGAATCGCTTGAACCTGGGAGGCAGAGGTTGCAGTGAGCCGAGATCATGCCATTGCACTCCAGCCTACAGCATGGGCAACAAGAGCAAAACTCTGCCTCAAAAAAAAAAAAAAGATTTAGGTTAGAGGGGATGAGGCCTAATTAGGGGCTAAAAACCTATTCCGAAATGTGATCATTTGAAAACCTTTGGCTAATTATAAAGCAAAAACCAAATCCCATCATTTAACAATACATCTTACTAACCTATCCTTCTACCTCTTCAAGAAACTCAATTCCAACACAGGTCTTAAGTTTGCTCAGTTACTACAGGTTATGAATTATTTGACATTTATGGTTCCAGAGAGAGTACACAGCCCCTCTGTTGGCCCACACAAGCGTTACATGACTGTTTAAAGGGGGCTCTGTTGAAATTCTAATTTTAGGATTTAGAAACAGCCTTTGGTTATATCTTGAAAGCGTAATTGAAAATCTGCCCAAGCTCCCTCTGGCTGCAACCTGAACATGCAGACCAATCTTTTGTAAACATTTAGAAAATACTGCACCCAGCAAAATACACAATTAGCTAGTCAGAGGCCTCACTCCACATTTTCACACAGATGAGAAATCTCCCCACTTATTCTTGCTAGATGCTAGGATATCCACTTTGAGATTTGAGTTTGGGAACAGCCATTAAGCCTCCTCTTTAATTGAGGTTGATAATGACGTATGAAGTCACCAAAAATAAACAGTGGAGCTGCCACCATTTTTCCTACACTTAGGCTACCCAATGTGCCCCAGGCTGTTTGTTTTTCCTGGCTAGCCCCAGAGCAAGAAAAGATGACTGCTGGTAAAGAGCCAGGGCCTGGTTTACTACCAGACCTCTTTTCAGATAACATTCAAGCAATTCTTCCACTCCCCAGAGGAAGGGGGAGATGATAATGATATGACACTATTGCTAGGGAATTTTCATAACTCCTCAGCAGCCAATGGAAACCTCTCTTTAAAGCAGCTGCTATGATCTTTTAGTGCTAGATAACCTTACCTTTGAAGTTACAAGAAATAACTTAACAACTTAAACCTACCCCAGAACTGAATGTCAAATGCACCAACTCCATAAATACAATGGAAAAATGCACAACAGAGCTGGGGCTTCTACCAAGTAAGAAGGCAAAATGGTCATTAGAATGTCTGAGGTTAGTGAACTCTTAAGACCTTTTCAAACACAGCCCCTTTCCATCACCTCTCCTGATCAGTACCCTCTACATTCACTACATCACACACTAGCAAATGAAAGAGCCAAACAACTGTGGCTTGATCCTCATTTGTACTTATTAGGGCCCACCCTCACATTTAGCTGAAGGTCCCAGCATGCCCTCATGGTGCCAGGGAGAACAGTCTTGGGGATGTCTGTTGCTTTGAAAGTCACTTGCCCCTCTTGCTGCGGCCCTTCCTGGAGGGCAACTTCCCACTGCCCCCAGAAGAGGCGGGACTTGAGGCTGAGGCCATGGGGATGTTGATCTGTCCCTCCTGGATTTCCTGCCGGGCCTCAGCAGGCAGATGGTTGATCTTCTGCTGTGTCTCCAGGTAGAACATGACATCACGCAGCTGCTCCTGGATCTCGGTGATTTGCAAATCTTTTTGGTCGCAGGTCTCCTTCAACAACTTCTCCTCCTCCTTTAGCTTGTTCTGCAGGAGGACTTGGTTGGCTCGCAAACACTTGTTCATTTCCTGCTCCTCTTTGAGCTCACTGGTGAGTTTGGCCACTTTCGTGTTTAGCTGAGTGCACCTTTTGAAAAACAAAGGAAGACAAAAGCACATTTTTCATTTGCTGACACAGTCCCCTTTCTGATCTGGGGTTGACCAGAGAAACCATGACCTCAGAATGCCTTTAGGACAGGCCCCTTTCTCCCATAGTGAGGAAGACTAGTTTGCTGCCATTGCAATCAGCTATGCAAAGCAAGAATTTTGCTCTACTTAACACAAGTGTATTTTATGCTTTTTTTTTTTT